AAGAGGGCGTTCTTAACAACAGGAAGTAACTAAGATATATATAAAAAAAAAGATATATGGGTGAGTGAGAGATAAAGCTACAAAGATATAGCGTATTATTCGAAACTTATATCTTGACCAGTGTATATATTGTATAGTTAAGCTTTTAGTTTAAATAAAATGTATTATATTGTGAAACAACAAATAACTCTTTAGGCAGTCCTCTGAAATTAATTAGCAGTTCAATCGCAAACATAATCAGTATTAGTTTTGCCTTTTCGTGGGTAAGTTGAATACCGTAAAGTTAAATTACAGGAAATTTATCAACATTTTTTAGCACTTATTAAACAAAAAATTATTTATAGCTTTGTAAGTAGTACAAATGTGCAAGCAGGACAGACCCCAGAGTTGGCACAATCTGGGATGCCGCACCGGGCAGCAGCCGTTAAGGGGGTTAATTATTAAAATTTAGAGAGCCATCGGACGGCAGAATTTAAGAGATGCAGAATTTTATACTGAGCGGCAAAACGCCCAGCACCCGACAATGTGTAAATGGTGGCAATAATAAAAATGTCAATGAGTAAATGAAAAACCATGCATTTAAAACTTGTAATAATTTTATTGAAACTAAAATGAATTAAATAAAATGCTATAGCATGCGCTAATCAGCATAATATTAAATCAAAACGATTACAAAATAAAAGTAATTAACATAGTAAGAATTTTCCTTCTCAGAAAGAAAATCCTTCTCAATTTCCATATTTCTAGCTTCATGGAAAAAAAACTTTAACACAAGCAATATTTTTATCAATATAAGTAACTTTCAGTTTTAGTATAATTCTAAAAAAAAAAAATATAAATTTTTGCATGCTGAAGAAGTAACTTTCTGGTGAGGCGTTCACCTTAAAATGAAATTTTTAACCAAAAAAATTTTGCCCTGTCTGATCGTTTTTGAAATCCAAAGAGTTTAACCTAAAATTTACGCCAAAATAAAGCTGCTGATTTTATTTATTTTAAATTTTACATTGGCATGTTTCTCTTCTAGTTTGAGCATTTAAAATGTTTAACTACAATAAAACATTCCAGTAATCACAAGGTTTAATTTTCAACATGAGAAACAGCCCTATGAAATTTTGAATGTAAATAAATAAAACAATAAATACTACTACAAATAAATAAAATGTAAAGAGATAAATAAAAAATAAATATACTACAACTAAATAAAATGTAAAGAGATAAATAAAAAATAAATAAAACAATAAATATTACTACAACTAAATAATATGTAAAGTGTTAAATAAAAAGTTAATAAATTAAATTAAATTAATAACAAACAGCTAAGCAATAAATTAAAATACCGGAACTCATATTATTCGAAATTCCGCCTGCAAATATAATTCCACTCAAAATTTGATCAGTACCGAAGATGGGCTCCGGTGAGCTCCGACAGCCCTGAAACAAAGAGTATTTACTGTATCTGCAGTTTAAAAAGTCTGTAAGTAGAGCTTAAATTGCGCAACAACTTGGCTCCGGTACTTCTTAATTTTAGAGATAAACCGCACTTTCAGTCAGACGGCACCGGAGTCCTATATATGAAGGATTCGGCACTTCTTTTATATAACTGATGCACAATTTCAGCAGAAAATTCTTTTGATTTCGAGCATTCTAACTTCTGAATGCATGCCTCTCTTTCCTTGGGAAACAAATCACTGACTTAGACTCTATAATTGACCGAGCTATTGCGAAGAGCAATGTTGCCGGTTCCAGAATTAAAGCCCAAGGGCACTTGATATAAAGAAATCCGGACGTGGAGAAAATCTCAGATGAGAAAACGGGGAAAAGGGGAATAAGTCACTGGCTGGAGACTGAAACCTTAAAAGTAATGAAAATCCCCCCCCCACACACACACATACACATGCCAAAGGCTAATTATCCAGGAAATGCAATAAATTTTTAGCAGAGAGTAAATTTTTCGTGCCAATGCTATAGGCTTCCCACGGAAAAGAGACTTGGAAAGATGTAACCAAATAAGGGGGGAACGAAGTCACTTGTTACTTTGTTCTCAGCTAATCCTCGGATTCGGAAGAAAATTTTCCCCCAGTCATGTCCTGCCATGGAAGTAGGAAAGGGAGGAGGGGCCAACCCGCGCTAAAAGTGAAGCACTGCTTTGAAGCTTGGGTCACCAGATGGGGTGTTCTTTGTTTACATTCAGAAGCTCGCTTGACAAGATTCTCATAGTATTTCGACACACGACAGTTCCTTAGAAATCGAAAAAGGGACACTTTCGCATGAAAGAAACATTCATAGTGTGGTGGATAATAGCAATTTGTACAGTTTAGTGACATTTACGCAAAAATCACATCTTGGTTATTTTTCGATAACTAACAACAGCGATTTTGATTACGAATTTGTTTTATAAAATTCTAAGCTGTTGCACTACAAAAATATACATTTTAAGAAAAATGTTATTCTTAAAGCATGAAAAATACCTTACGGTACATTTAAAATTGTATACGTCTTTCGATACCCTTGATAGAGTATTCGCTACTTTTATTTTAAACGTCAAAATGTTTTAAACAAAACAAATTTTTTTCACATCCATTTATTATTGTAACATGTACCTTTTAAAATTTTTTAGAGGAGAGGCTTTACTGCTGCTCATTTTAAACCCATCGTTTTAATTTTATATATCTGAAAATAATCACTTTGGGCTTACATTTTTAAATATAAAATTATGTATGTTAAAATATTTGTAATTAGGCACATAGGTCACATTAAGTTTTTATTAAATAGAGTAACACATGCAAGGGCTATCTGCCTAAAGAGAGAGATGCCATCGTGGAGGAATTTTGAAGAAAAACTGACCTTTGAGTGGGTATTAAAAATAATACTTATAATTTTCATTCAAATTATATTCATATATATTTTTTATGTAAAACTTTCGGGTGTATGCTAAATTAGTGTAAATTACTTTACACGAAAAATATAGTGAATGCACAGAAATTAAAGATTTGCACATGCCGGAAATGAAAAATAGGAAATATGTATGGGTATTTATGCATGTGCTTGCAAAAAGCATGTATCTGCCTTTGACAAAATACTTAAATATTCATTAAATTATTTATAAATGTATTTGAAATGAAGAATTTATTCATTTATAAACAACTGTGAAAGTGCTGTGAAGAAATCTAATGATTAAATGTATCTAATTTATAATGATTATAAATGTTATCTAAATATATAATAACCTTAATATTGAATTGTAAACATAAATTGAAATCCTGTTGGCAAATACGTTATAAAACTATTTAAGCAAGAATTTTTCGTATTGGAAAGCAATCTGTTAAAAGGTATTGTAAAGCAAATGCTATGAGATGCGCACTTAAGAACGTAATAAAGAGTTTTGGAATATGTATTGTTGAAATGAAGGGTGAATAAAAAAATCTGATAAGTATAATTAAAAGAATTATTCCCCTTACATTTTATAATAACCCAGTTACAAGTTTCAAATAATACTTAAAAAAAACTTATTTTATTCCCTTTCAGAAATGTTCAGAGAAAGTCAAGTAGTATTTAATACCTATTTAATTATTAGGAATTAGTGAAATACTTATTTAAAGTATTTCGCTAATTCTTAATAATTCTCTAATTTAAATTGAACCGAATAGAGTATTAATTATAAATTGACTTACATTTTTCGATTTAAAAGATGCCTCAGAAGCCAAAAAATCATGTCATATTTAAGAAAGTATTTTAGAAAGAGGCTCTATAAATAGAAAAGAAATAATGCATAATTTTAATGTTAATAATACAATAAACTTTGATCTTAATTTTTGTACCTTAACCGAATAAAATCGAATTACCTTAATTTTTTTTCTAATGTAATTAAAGAAAACTTGTGAAAATATTTCATTCAAATTAAACCATTCTGAGAAAACTGTCCTGTGAAAAGTATAGCATTTAATTCCGTTCAGAATGAAATGTTGTTTAAAAAATATGGTTGTTTTCACATACTTAGGACTCTGAAGTGTTGTAGAAAAAGAAAATATATACATTTATATGTATATTTACGACGTAATTACAAAATATTTACATCCGAAAGCGTCAAATCCCATAGAACTCAATGGTAAATGACCCAATGTTTTGGTCACCACGTAGGGATCGCCGGTGCTTCAGAGCAGGGTACGGGAGAAACTTGTTTAGGGCGACTCTATCTTACTTCCTACCTCCATGTGTCCTGCTTAACATCTAGAATTCTATTGGTAAAAGAACATGATCAGAAAGTTCTGCGCTTTTCTCTTTACGTTTTCATACCGCAAATCCTCCGTTAAGAAATAAACCATTGCTACTTAAATAAGGTTGTGACAACTTTTCCAGAAATCTCTCTCTTCTCAGGTTTTAACTGTTCTAACTCAGTTACGCTTTGACTGTTCTAACCTTTTTTCATTGTTATGCTAGAAAAAAGAATGGTTTTTGTTTCTATCATTCCTTACAGCACACGTTATACTGTAAAGTCAAGGTTTAAAATTCAATCGAATCTGGTTGAGCTATTTCTTCGTTTGTGAGCGACACTGTAATTCCAACCGCAGGCTCAAATAAGACGAGGTCCAGTACTTTATTTAATATTTAACTACTATTAAAATTTTTAATATTTAATTATTTATATTATTAAAAGATTAATTACGTTTTTGCTGAATTTTAATGTTGATTATTTAATAATTTGGTTGTTAGTTATTTATTATTTAAAAAAAATAATTATTTTATTTATTTGTTTTTGTTCTTTTTTTTTTTTTTTTTTTTTTGACAATCTTTCATAGAGTTATGGCACTTCTGATTTTAGAAATTAAGTCCTATCTATAAGACAGATAATCTGAGACACAACAGCGCAAACAACAAAAATTGCCACTAAATTTTGTTTTAATTCTTAGTGGCAATTTTGTTTGTATACTAAAAGCCAGAATGCAGCAATAAGGTAATTTTAAAAGCAAAGTAATCAATTATTAAAAAAAAACTTAACTTACTTAATAACACTGCTGAAATTAATCCCGAAATATAGGTAATCGGCGCTGTAATAACTGACCCCATCGAAATGTCTTTAAAGATTAAACTTAGCAGATCTGACCAACACTGAAACCAATTGGCATTGACATCCCGGATATGAAATTAAGTCAATTACGCAATCATGAGTAGTAAAATATGAAGTTCGAAAGAACTAAGAATGGTTTGATGTTTTGCCAACTGCTCATTCAAGATACAGCTTACATTGGAAGCTTAAATCGTATTTGATAAGCGTAAGATAAACATAGTGATATATTAGGATTCAGCTACAAAGTAATTTCCAATTGAATGAATTAATTCCTGAATGGTAAACTAACGAGAGCAGCCTTCCTTAGAAACTTATAAACGGGGGGTGGGAATTGAACGAGCAGAAAAGGGAGAAAGTAAAAACACCATCGTAAGAAATGACGGCAAATAAATAAATTTTAAATCGTAATTGCAGGCGTGGTAACATTAAGAAAAAATAGGTGATCCTAAAGCATACAGATGGCGCCACTAGATGGGAGAGAAAACTTGGTAGGTCAAAATCAAGATAGTCATATGCTTTTGGCCATCCAATCACGTAATCCGAAACTTGTTGTCCATCAAAAGATTTTCAACAATGGACCTAGTCCTTGAAATAGATTCGTGAAAAGTAAAACATTGAGAATAAAATGATCAGATTTCCAAAATATAATTCTCGAGTAGGTGGGTTGAAAATATAAAAATACAAAAAGCAACTCTAGGTTTTTTTGTTTTTTGTTTTTTCCCCCTGCCCTTCGGTGCAATCTCTGGAGTTCTCAACTCACCATGCGCGTTCCTGCGAGTTGCGCCGACCTTTTTATTGTTACCCATCTTTCAAAGAGAATTTATCCTGGTTAGTTTTAAGGTCCCAAATTAACACATTATACCTGATGTGATAAAAGTAAGATTACGCATTTCTAATGCTATACTACAAGTTTGCATTAGATTTTTTTTTTTTTTTTTTTCCCCCTTAAACAGTATTTAAACAAAAACATCCTTGCATGTCATATATATTTCTCTACAGCAGCATTTTTTAAACTATGGATTGCGGTCCCAAACGAAATAATTATCTACTATCCGGGTCCACAGACTACCAGCATTTTCTTATATGAGAGAATAATAGTTCTCTGTCTCAGTACTTCGAAAACGCTTTTAATTAATTATTTTAATTACCATCGTATCGTCTTTTCTTCCCTGAAAGTACAGACCACTTACGTTTCCTTAATAGATTGATTCTGCAAATTATTTCTGTTACTACGAGGTTTTGCTGTTCTTATTTTATTTCTGTCAACGATGTCAGAATTGTCTGAATCAGTTATCACATATATGGTTACATAATATTTACAATATACACAATATTTATAATTATACAGTATAATTACACCATATTTCACAATTATAGTTACAGTTTAAAATGACTTGCAGGAAAAATTACGAAATATTTCTATTTTTACAAAACGTTGCATGATGTAAGATAAAAATGTATGTAATATAAAATAATGATGATGATGATAAAAAGAGTATTTTATTTAACATAGAATTTACAAATTATTCAGTCAAGATAAGCTCCGCTTCCATGGTTGGTATTCTAAACACAATAAATAGTTCGAAATTCTTGATGATGCTCACAATGCTCCGTCATAATATGTGACATGTATAAGTGCATGTATAACTGCAAATATAATCTGTGGGGAAGATGCAGCTCTTCAAAGTTAAGGAAAAGAAAAATTATGTATAGGTATCCATTCTGATATTTCAACTCTCACGTCTACATCTGAAATTAAAAGCAATTGTGATATTTAAAAATTATAATAGCATTAATTAAAACCCCCTCCATATCTTCACTCTTTACTTTCATCCAAATAGTAATAAAATTAATTATATTTAAACTGTAATATATATGCATATAATAGATGTACTGATATTTTGGATATGATGAATTTTTAGCAAAGTTCTTCCGATCGAAGTGACTCTTTAATAGCTAGCTCGTAGCTAAGTAAGCAGTTATACTAAACGTTCTGTAAGTTATTTTGAAGACACATTAGGTTTTTTCGAACAGGCGACAAGAAAAATGAGCAGTGCCCTCGATGGGACTCGAATCTGGACCTCTTGAATACGCGCCAAGGTGCTACCCTTACACTACGAAGACACGCTGGAAGGAGGGAGAAAATACCTTCTAATTTTTATTAAATATTTTTTAATCTGATACAAACAGAACATAGACATCAACTGAATTTTGTAACCATAATACGAAAACAGCGAATGTGCAGCGAACTGTTGTTTTGGAAAAAAAACACGTTTAAAGATTTGCACATTCTTGAGTTTGTAAAAATACGAATTCTGAATGAGCGACAAGTCAAACTGATGTTGAACATCTCAAAAAACATGCACTTTTTTTATTTTGTTTTACTTGGAGAAAAATATCGAAAAATACTATAGAAAATGGACGCCCTGAGTTCATATTGATGTAACGTGGTACATGTTTTTGAATTGTTTGTTTTCATTCTTTCTAGCCAAATTTTCAAACATGGTTATTTTAAGCCAAGCATTCTGAAAGGTGGCGCTGAAATTTGTGATGTTAGTCATTCATATGCAATTCAGTTCACTCAAAAACATAGCTAACACAGTTTGTAATCTCCCATTGTAATCATACTCATAGATCATGAAAATATTAAACTTAGTAATCAGTGAAACACATGAAAATACCTGTTACTAAGTGCATGTGCTTTCGTGGATTACGATTGAGGAATTACCAGTTACCAACTTTTATTTAAGGTTAAACAAATTAATACTTTTAGTTAGAAATTAAATTCAATAGAAACATTATATTAATATATACAGATTTTCTGATATATTAATAAAAATTTTAAGTAGCAAAAGGAAATGATGAAGAAGCCGATAATTCGCACAGACATAAATTTTAGTGGCATAGTTTGACCAAAAGTAGCAAATTTGTAAAAAATCATACGATCGATCAACATTGTTCATGACGGATTTACTCGCAAGCCAATGAAAATTGAAACGCCGTATACTCATACTCTGACAAAAAATGATAATGTAGCGCAGACACTGAGAACTAACTGGATTTAACTTATTCTTCTAGTTTGCTGCTTCTCAGTTACGGCATATCGATTTCATGTTTAAATATCATATTACATTTTTAATTTATACGGTAACTACTAAAGTAAACTTTATTTCCTAGCGTTAATTTTAAAGATAGATTTTTATTATATTGTGAAGGTAGGCTAATAACTGAATACAAACGAAAAAAGCTGAAGTTCCTTTAATCATAAATTAAAGGAAGACAAAAAAAAGCAAGGCATGAAGTTTTTCTGGGAAAAATGCATACATTAACATACTGGAAATTACGCAGCGTCAGCAGTACGAACAAGTAAAAGAAGAATAGTTGATTTCTGGGCATTATTATCAACAACAGCATGATAATAATGCCCAGCAATCAACTAAGAAAGGAAAAGTACACAACAACTGGAGGAGCAGGAACAACCACAAATAACAACTACAACCAAAGGAACATCAGAAGAAAGAACACTTAGATGAAGATGAAGCTAATACTACGCTCAGCGTTTTAAGAGAAGAAAAACATTATCGTTGTAATCAAGAACATATCTAACGTTGATGTAAATACTCAAAAACTGGACTTTGCTGCATCTAAAGTGGTCTAGAAATTGCAGAGTAGGTATGCAGTATGATACACTGGTGCGCAAAACTTAAGCAACAATGCAAATTTTAATCAGATAACCATGCAGTTGCAGAAAAGAGGTTCTTGCTATCAGTACGATGAACACGCAATTCAGTAGAAAGGTCATGCATATGCAAATGTCCGGGGAAAACATCACAGGCTACGTGATCGTACGCAAAACGCGTGCGCTCCACTCGAGACTACCATAAAAGGAAGGACGAAGACGCAATTAAAGACATTCGCTGCAAGTACAAGTGAAATCTTTCGTGAAATATGGCTAGAAGAGATCATCTGGATGACTTCACGAGTGGAAGAATGATCGGAAAGCTGGAGGAGGGGCGTAGTGTGACCAGTGTGGCTGAAGATTTCAAAGTCAACAAAAAAGTCATTTCGCGGACTTGGAAAGCCTTCCAAACCATAGGTACAGTTATTAGAAAGGTTGGTGGTGGCCGCTCCAGGACAACAACTGCAGCAGATAACCGATATATCGTCCTACAGGCGAAAAGAGCCCAAAACCAGTCAGCAAGCTCCACAGGTCAGCAACTGTGTACAGCAACCGGCGACAATTGTCGTGGTTTACTGTGTCCAGACACCTTCACAAAGATGGGCTATTCGCCCGCTGTCCTGAACGCTGCATCCCTTTGAAAGTTGGCCATCGGCCCCACCGTTTAGAGTGGTGCAAGGAGCGCAAAAACTAGGCATCTCATCAATGGAGTCGTGTCCTCCTTAAGGATGAGAGTCGTTTTAGTGCCCCAAGCGATTCTCAACACCAACTTATTTGGAGAGAGGTAAGGACACGGTTTAATCTCAGTAACATCACGGAAAGACACCATTACGGTGTCCTGGAGACCTCGTCTGGAGAGGCATTATGCTGAACGGGCGGACAGAGCTCCACGTTTTCGACAGAAGTTCTGTAACCGGAGATCGCTATTATCAGGAGGCGATCCTTCCCTATGTGTGTCTGTTCCGAGGTGCAATTGGGCCAGACTTCGTTTTTATGGATGACAATGCACGGCCACACCGTACTCCTGCTGTTCAGAAGCTACTGAAAAGTAAAGATATCACTCGAATGGATTATAAGGATCTTAAATTTTACTAACGTTTATTTTATTTTAAATCTTTACTATCACTTCTTATTTTCTACTTCCGGCCAGAATTATAAGCTTTAACGTATTTATGCAAAGTTTGTCTGGCGAACGCCAAGTACTTAAGTTGTGGCTTTTTGCCAAGAGAGAGAGAGGAAGCAGTTAGTCGAAGCAGGCCGCTTACCTTAGAAGTTTTACTCAGCTGCTGGTTGCCTTCCAGGCCAGAGGTTTAATCCTCTTGATAACTTTAAACGTATTGTAGTGTTAGCAGTTCTCTGTACTACATACGGCTTCCTGTTAATATAAGGCCAATCTTCCACGTTTATTATTTTAAAGTTAAATTAGAGTTTAGTTATATTTTTATATTTTTACGTTTAGACCACAAGTAGTGGGTCTTTGTATTCCGAAGTACGGAAAGTTATTGTAAATAGAGAAAAATAAAGGGTTTTGTATACCCTTCTTGTGTATCCTGTCTACTTCCCACAGTTATTGAACATAGCTTTAGTAAGCTCTCTGTTCCGAGTCAGGTCCTTGCATGTTCCCGAAGAAAGTAAGACGGAACATTGAACCTGATAGTGGCGCCCAACGAAGAAGAATAACCATGGCCGAGTTTCAAGA